TTACAATTGCATGGGCAGGATAATGCGTACATTTCTTACCAAGCATTGCAGCCTCCTCCTTTGTTTACCCTTCCCATCCCTTCCCAGCCTCCCCCCTCCCCCCACATTGTGTTATTTTTAAGAGTCAACAGGAGACAACTCGATGCCTGTAATCTGTTCCAAATATATGTTAAGTCTTTTCATTGTAAAACCATTGTAGGCAATAAACAAAACCTCCATTATTTACCAGGTAAGGAAAACTGTGCACCAAATAGTAAGCCTATCCAGGGTAATATTTCTGTCAAATATCTGAGCTAGAATTTGAATCAAAGATCATAAATCTAAAAATATGATAATCAATACCAGTTTTATGGTATAGATTCTGTTCTAGTTTTTCAAGTGCAAATAGATGAATTTAAATGATACATCTTTATGTAGATAGTTTTTCTTATTTTTAAATTGTTCTGATAACAAGTCAACTGTCAATATAACTTTCTACAAATATGTTACAATACACTACTGTAAATTATTATTTTTAGTTAATATTCCATGAAATATTGACTTCTTTTGCATTTCTAGAGATTAAACCAGTACTTTCTCATGCTGGTCAAGAGTTTAACACTGAGCCAAAATTTGACAGCTTTATATACTTTAGACTAATAGGATATTATTTGTATCATAATGGTTATACTTTCTTTTCTGTACATATGGATTTCTTTATGTATTTTTTTTGTCAGTCGTGGGGCCTGAACTCTGGGCCTAGTCACTGTCCCTCAGCACTTCAACTCAAGGCTAGCACTCTACCACTTGAGCCAAAGCACCACTTCAGGCTTTTTCTACTTATGTGGTGCAGAGGAATTGAACCCAGGGACTCATGCATGTGAGGCAAGCACTCTAACACTCAGCCAACTTCCAATTCCCTAGACCTGATTCTTTTTTTTTGTCAGTTGTGGGGATTGAACTCTGGGCCTGGGCGCTGTCCCTGAGCTCTTCAGCTCAAGGCAAGCACTCTAACACTTGAGCCACCATGCCACTGGTTTTCTAGTGGTTTATTGGAGATAAGTTTCATGGACTTTCCTGCCAGGGCTGGACTTGAACTGCATTCCTCAGATCTCAGCCTCCTGAGTAGCTAGGATTACAGGTGTGAGTCACCAGTGCCTGGCTCTTTATTTACTTTTGAAACCTGTAATACATAGTTTGTTATGTTTAAAGTCAGCATTGATTTATCCTTGCAAACTGGTTTGCATACAGTATTGTATGAAGCTTAGAATGGGGGAGGAAGAGAATTTTAGCTAAAAAATCCATATTAGTCTACCACAGGCCCAATTCCCTGATGTGGAAAAGAGAAAAAGTAAATGTATGTAAAAAAAGCATTTCCTTAGATTCTTATTTTTAGCACTGATTTTCCTCAGCTCTACAAGTAACCTACAGTTTGAGATTACCATAAAATAGCAATAAAATCTACATCCAATCTACATGTAGTATATTATATAAATACATATGTTAATGGGTTCTTTAATGTTCCTTGAAAGTTCCTGTTTTCTCTCTTCCAGCTAAGACTAGTTATTGTCATATGTATTATTATTGATTTTATAGGTAGCCAAGGTAATTTCTCATCTTTGAATTTTAGGTTGGAATCTAATTTCCTGTGTAGAAGTTAAAACTCCAACTTAATTAGGACAGGTAATATTTCAAGTTAAATATTGTTCTTCCCAGTCATTTTCTCCCAGTTTTTTTCCACCAGTCCTGGGGCTTAAACTCAGGGCCTGGGCCCTGAATTTCTTTTGCTCAAGGCTAGCACTCTACCATTTGAGCCATAGCACCACTTTTAGCTTTTTCTGTGTATGTGGTACTGAGGAATGGAATCCAGGGCTTCATGCATGCGAAACAAACACTCCACCACTAAGCCACATTCCCAGCCCTGCTCCCACTTTTAAATGTGAATTTATATTGTTTATTAATTGGGATAGGGGTATAGTAGATACTGAATTCAGTGCTTCTTACTCTTTGTTGTTGCTTAATAGTTGAAATGAATGTCTAGTCTATTGTTAATTGGAGATGGAGTCTAGCTATTATTTTTGTCCATAATGACTTCAAACAGACATTTTCCAGATCTCAGCTCCATGGATAACTTGGATTTAGAGGCATATTATTAGCATCTATCAGTTGTGCAATAAAGCTTCATTGTGATGTTTGAGTATATGCATAAAACAAGCCTAACTGCATTCCCTATTAAAGGGTTTAAATATACTATAGTTTGCAGAGAATTTTTTCGTCATTTGTAAAAACAAAGTGTATAAAGTAGAAAAACAAAAACAGCTCATGCCAAATTTAAATTGTTTATCACCTTTAAGAATCAGGTCTGGGCGGGGCGCTGGTGGCTCAAGCCTGTAATCCTAGCTACACAGGAGGCTGAGATCTGAGGATCGTGGTTCAAAGCCAGCCCGGGCAGGAGAGACCGTGAGACTCCTATCTCCAATAAACCACCAGAAAACCAGAAGTGGCTCTGTAGCTCAAGTGGTAGGGCGCTCGCCTTGAGCTGAAGAGCTGAGGGACAGTGCCCAGGCCCAGAGTTCAAGCCCCATCGCCGACAAAAAAAAAAAAAAAAGAATCAGATCTGGCCGGGTGCTGGTGACTCATGCCTGTAATCCTAACTACTCAAGAGGCTGAGATCTGAGGAATGTTGTTTAAAGCCAGCCTGGGCAGGTCCCATGACCCACAAAAAAAAATCAAGTCTAATTTCAGCTGGGAGCTGGTGGCTCATTCCTGTAACCTTACTCATGAAGCTGAGATTTGAGGATTGTGTTCAAAGCCAGCCTAGACAGGAAAGTCTATGCGACACTTACCGCCAATTAACCACATAAAAACCTGAAATTACTGCTCAAGTGGTAGAGTGCTAGCCTTGAGCAAAAATGCTTAAGGACAGTGCTTAGGCCCTGAATTGGAGTCATATGCCCTGAAGCAAAAAAAAAGGGAGGGTAAAGTTCTTGGAGGTTGTGATATTTACACACACTACATTGTTCGCTGATTTAACTTTTCCCAAGCAATTTTTGTTGTTGTTGTTATGGGTGGTGGTGGCTGGAACTCATGTATATGCGCTATCCCTTTCTCTCTCTTTTTTTGTTGGTAGTGGGGCCTGAATTCTGGGCCTGGGTGTTGTCCCTGAACTCTTCCGCGCAAGGCCAACCCTTTACCACTTGCCACAGCACCACTTCCAGCTTTTTCTGCTTATGTGGTGCTGAGGAATTGAACCCAGGGCCTTATGCATGCAAGGCAAGCACTCTACCATTGAGCCACCTTCCCAGCCTCTGGCTCTTTTTCTCAAGGCTAGAGCTCTACCACTTTGAAACACAGTGCCACTTCCAGGGTTTTTTGTGGGGGGGGGCGGAGGAAGTGGTTGATTGGAGATGAGAATTTCACAGGGACTTTTCAACCTGGGCTGGCTTTGAACCGCAAAGGTCAGATCTCAGCCCCTGGACCCTACCTCGGAGGCTGAAATACGAGAGTGCTGTTAAAAGCCAGCCTAGGCAGTAAAATCCGTGATACTCACATCTCCAATAAACTACGAAAAAGAAAAAGAAGGGAAAAAAACACGAGAATTGGAGCTGTGGCTAAAGTGGTAAAGGGATAGCTTTGAGCAAAAGGTCAAGGGCAGGCCTCAGACTCTGGGTTCAACCCCCAGGACAGGTACCAACCTCCCTCCCCCCCAAAAAAAAAACCCAAAAGGAAAGAAGGAAAAGACACTGCTTTATTATTGTAATTATTGAAAAGGCACACTTTAACTGAAGACAAAGTCTCTCAGCAGTGCAGCCTTGTCCGTCTGGTCAGCCATTAGAACACGAATTAAACCATCTTTCCTTATTGCGTAAACAAAAACGTACGGGGTGTTAGTAATTCAGGGTTATTTAGCCAGTGTTTCCTGCAAACAACATCTTGGGGATAAAGTATTATTTCCTATTTTACACATATTTAAATATCGGTCCGTAGTTTCATGAATCCCAGGCCAACAGTAGTTTGCGATATCTCGCGCTCAACGCACCATTGGGACGACTACGCAGTGTCTGGTCGCTCTGTCCAAACAGGTCATTTCGGTCACTGCGCACGCATCCAGCCCTGCATTGCGGCAAATTGCCGCGCATGCGTGGCCACAGGACTGCTTGCTTGCGCATGCGCAGGCACAGGTGACAGCGCGCAGTACCAGAGCCGCAGTCGCGGAGACGGCGCCAGGAGGAGCGGTGTCTGGAGATGCCTGACGCCCGGTTCTGAGCGGCGGCAGCGACGCCATGGAGCGGGCAAGGTTAGCTGGGCCGGGGTCTTTCAGCCTGCAGATCCGTTGCTGTTGTTCCCTGAGGGGTCGAGGTCTTTGTTCCGGAGACCCCCGTGGCTCTCGCGGTAGTTTTGGGAGGCCGCGGCTGACCGCTCCTGTGAGGGCCGCGCGGCCGCTCCTGTGAGGCTCGGCTGCCGCGGCTGCGGCCGCTCCGGGAGCGAACCGAGCAAGTCGGTGGAGGCCGCCGGACCTCGGGTCCGAGCGGACACGGTGCGTGGCAGGGCCGCGGCCGCGCTGTTTGCCGCACTCTGCTGCCGCTTGCCGCGGTGCGGGGCACGGCGTCCCGTGAGGACCCGCGGAGGACGCAGCGCGGGGCTGCCTGGCTCGGGGCCTGGTTGCGGGATGGTGGGACGGCCGAGCGGAGGGAGAAGGAAATCGTTGGGGGTGTCGGGGGCGGGGGTCGGTCGTGCGGTCACCGGGCTGAGCGGGCGGATTTGGGCTGCGGTGGCGTCTGCGTGTGGGGAGGGGGCGGGGCGGGATTCGTGGCCCGGCCGTGGGGCTCTCAGAGCTGCAGAGCCGGCTTCGGGGTTATCTGTGGGAAGGTGTTGGGAGGGCGGTGTGGGGGTTCCAAGGGGGAATGCGGGGGGGGGGCGTTCTGTGAAGACCCCGTGATGCCGCAGCGCGTCCGGCAAGGGTGGGAAGCCCGGCTGGGAAGCCCGGCTGGGAAGCCCGGATGAGAAGCCCGGATGGGGTGGGCAGAGGCGCAGCTTTAAGACGGAGCAGTTTGTGTGGTTTTTTTTTTCTTTCTGTATTATATATTCCAGTTTATGTATTGTACTCATAGTGCAAATCCGCCCCGATCCTGCAGTTGTGATTGATTTCATAAATACTGGGCTTGCGGGTTTTGTTGTTGTTTTTTAAAGTGCCGATCACTTGCTTTGGTGTCGGTCGTACGTGTGTATTATTTTGAAGTTGTGTGCCTTGAGACAGGTGTCCGTGGTATCACCTGTTTGGTTTTCTCTCATTGTTTTTCAGAACCGAATCCTTGAAATTGGACTTAGGGTTGAGTGGGAGTGGGATTCATTTTTCAGGTACGCCATTGTGAGGTTCCCTTAAGATGGCTGCTACTGCAGAGGCTTTCTTGCGCGCAGGCGCGGCGGGGTAGGGGCAGTTGCCCCCTCCTCACAAAACTGCCAGGATGAGGGAGAGCTGTCTGCGCATGTCTGCGCAGCCTGCCTGTCTGCAGTCTCAGCCACACCCTCTCTTGAACGCAGCAGCAGTGAACTCAGGAGCCTCTGGATGGTACGTGACTGCCCCCCCCTCCCCTCACAGCACTGCAGTGCGGAGGGGAACAGATTGCGGAGGAGGAGAAGACAGCTGCTGTTGCTTGAATTGTGGCAGAGAGGGCGTTGGTTGGAGGAACGTGCAGTCTTGGCATGGAGGGGATAGCAGACATTCCATGCACCTGTCCGCTGCATTTGCTCCTTGCCAATCATTATGAACTGCAGTACGGAAGATGGGGATGAGGAGGAGACTGGGTTATTTAGGCCCCACCTAGCCATCTTGGGAACAGTCCCCAGCCCCCCAGTGTCCTAATGAAGGATTGGAGTGGAATTAGGGAGAAAACAGTGAGTTATAATTTCTGTCCATGTGGGTCTTCCCAGATTCGTATTGTGGGGGTATCTATGCGTACCTGGGTGCTGTGTCAGGAAGCCTAGAAAGAGATATTAAAACCGTTTGTAAAGACATATTTTCTTTTGGTAGATCTCATAGATAGGGTTTGATTTCTACTTTCCAGATGTAATAATTGAACAGATGTGTCATTGCCAAGCATCACCTTAATCTCTTCATACTCCATGGCCTGCTTCCTGCAGATGATTTTTTTTAACTGGCAGTTTGTTTCTAACCAGAACAGGGTCTTAACCTTTACTTGGCCACCTTGAGTGGTTATAGCTAAACTGTAAGTTGTCTTGAGAGAGAAAAGAGAATAAAAAAGTACAGAAAATTTTTTCACATTGGCATGTTATGATGTCAGAATTATTACTTAGGAATACTTACACTTATTGGAGTTTTAGATGAAAAGTTTTGGTAATTCTTCAGCTGGACGCACTGTTAATATTTGATGAATAAGTAATAAATCAACTGCCACTCAATTTCACCCTATTAATATTTTAGTATTTTAATATTTTCATCTGGATTTCAGAATGTAGCTCATGTTTATTCTCTTCTGGTTGTCAAGTGCTAGCATGATAAGCATGTACCCAGTGCTTGCCTTTAAATTAACCTTGCCTTCATATGGCACAGAATTGGAAAAATGGAATAATTTTGAAATTTCCTGTGTGGTTTATCATTTACCCACGTTTGTAGTGAGATATTGTTTGAAGTGTGTCTTGGTTTATCTTCTCTCTGTTTTTTCTCATCTTTTTTAAACTATTTGTTACCATCACTCATCTTGTAGTTTTTCAGCCTGAGCACCCTAATATGGGTAGAATCCTTTGAAAAAGTGCTCATCTTGTTTTAGTGCTTCTGAAGTTTCAAAATCTCTGTCTTTATCAGTGTAACCAGTTAATTTTGCATCAGTAGTAATTAAAGAAAAAAAACGTGTAGATACAGGGTCATTGTGTATTATGGACTGTCCTCCTACTCCAAAATTCTAGGTTACAACACCTGTTGTTTATTTGAAATTAGTATACAGTCCTTCCTTTGATTTAGATGAGTAGATTTTTTTCCAGGAATGTCTATATTTCTGTTTAAGGCAGAAATGTGGCTTATTCATAGAAAATAATTTTCTGTTGACTTGACTTTAGTTTTTGGTCCAAGTCTGGGTGAGACTCAAACTTTGTATTTGATACTTTGGCTCATTGGCTGGCAGTGTACTACCTGTGTCATACCTCCAACTCCTTGATTTCCTTTTCCTTTTTTTTTTGGATATGAATCCTGGCGCTTGAACTCAAGGCCTGGTGCTGTCCCTGGACTTTTATTTTCAAGGCTAATGCTCTACCACTTGAGCCATAGCCCCATTTACAGCTTTTTTGGTACTTAATTGGAGAGAAGAATCTCATGGACTTTCTTGCCTGGGCTGGCTTTGAACCATTGATCTTCAGATCTCAGATCCTTGAGTAGCTAGGCTTATCAGTATGAGTCCTCAGGTTTTATGTTGGTTTTTGTTTTTTTAACCAAATTCATATTTAAGAAATTGTCTTATAAGCTGAGCGCTGGTGGCTCACATCTGTAATCCTAGCTACTCAGGAGGCTGAGGTCTGAGGATTAAGGTTCAAAGCCAGCCCAAGCAGGAAATTTTGTGATACTTTTACCTCCAATAAGCCACTAGAAAACTGGAAGTGGTGCCATGGCTGAAGCAGTAGAGCCCTGGCCTTTAGTTGAAGAGCGCAGGGACAGCACCCAAGCCTAGAGTTCAAGCCCCACGAATGACAAAAAGAAAAAGAAAAAAAAGAAATTGTCTCGTAGAGCAATCTGTTGCATAGGTCATTATACATTGTTGACATTGTTCAGGAAGGGTACTTTTTGTGTGTATATTTGAAGCAGAGTTTTCTCTGTTCCTTTTCTTGCTGGCCTTGAGCTTACATGTAGTATAGGGCAGCCTCAAATTCTTAAGTTTTCATGATTTGTCATCTAAATATTAGAAATAATTCTTGACTACAGCAACATGAACAGGACAGTGAAAATTTTAATTCTGTTGTTGTTGTTTTGATTGGGAATATTTTTTTGTCCTGTCTCTCCATTTCAACTACTGTGGATCAAAGCCAGGGAGACTGAGTGATAAAATTGAAACTAATAAAATTCTTAAACTGATAAAAATTCAGATATGGAAGTTAACTCATTTATCTTAAAATTTCTGAGTACTTGCTAGTCTAGAAGTTTCATTTGGAAGCCTTGATTTTTCCTTATTTTGTGCTAGTCAAATACATACTGGAAGGAACTAATTTATCTTTATTATTTTTCATACTAAAGAACTGATGAAGTGGTAAGCAAACAGATTTTTGGGTTAAGAGACTATCTGAAATAATATAATATTGGATGAATCATAATTTAGTTGTTATCTGTACTGCATCCAATTAATTAGGATATTGAATATTAAATGTGTTTTGAGCCCAGAATTATTTTGTAGCATGGTTCATCATGTAATTTCTTTTTATGGTTTTTGTTCCTTTTTATTTATTTTTTTCTATAATTCCCTTATATTTATATTTCATGCCATACCATATTTTGTTAATCAGTTAATGGAAATTTAAGAGTACTCTGTCCATTATGAGCAATGGACACAATGCCCCATTGTGGTGTTTTACTATCACTCCATCTTGAAGGAGAATTGCTAGGTCATTCTGTTAATCTCATGGTCAGTATTTCCTGGAGTTTCAGAAGCTATAACATTTTACTTTCTCACTTTCTTCACATCTTTCTCAAGTCTGGTATTAAGTGGTATCTGTGGTTTTTATTTCCATTTCTCAAATGATTATTAATGTTGTAACGAATAATTTCATGTACTAAATTACAATTTTTTATCTTATTTGGAGAACTATTTACTCTGAGCCTTTGTGGTTTTATAGTTCGTTTGTAAGAATTTGTTTTTATTCTGCATACAAGACTGAAAAAATAACTTTGTTGAGGTATAGTAGAGATTAAAAAATGTTACATATATTTAGTGTTGGGAGATAAGAAATATTTTGGAAGCCATGATAATGAATCCCATACATTTATCCATCATTTCCAAAAGTCTCCATGCCTTTTTTCTTTTTTGATTATGTTTCTATTTTCCTTTAGATATTAGATATCCATTAACTATATAATACTTCCCTTCCTTTCTCCTGGATATATATTTACTTCATTTAGTTTTTTATTAAATGTCCAATTTATGCACATTGCATGTTTACTTATAATTCAGATGACATTTAAAGGACTATTGCCTAATTCAAAGTCATTGATATTAATATTTAAACATTTACTAGTTTCAAGGTCTCACATGAGTCTAGTTGATTTAAAATTATTTCTGTGGCTTTGTAGAACAATTGAAACTTCTTAAAACAGAATGAATCTCACTAACATTTTCATTTATTTTAAGTTCATATTTGATTATACAGGGGCAATTTCATTGTTAATTTTTCACATTTAATTGGTTAAAATTTTACTTTTAAAACTGTAACACTATTTTTTTAAAATGTTCTGTTCAGACAATTAGCTTTTGAGCTGTGACCTTGAATTATGCCTTTGAGATATTACTTGGCATGACTTTAGCATAGGGCCTTTCTCCTACCTTTTCTGGTTTAGCATTTGTATATTGCAGTTATTCCAGGCTCCAGAGGTTTTTAACATGGCTGCTCCAGGAGAGAGATTCGAATCAGTTTCTAAAAGCAGCTATTTTGTGAGGCTTTTTTTGTGGTAGTGAATTTTTTGTTTTTGGATCCGGTCGTGGGGCCTGAACTCTGGGTCTGGGCGCTGTCCCTCAGCTCTTCAGCTCAAGGCTAGCACTCTACCACTTGAGCCACAGCGCCACTTCTGGCTTTTTGCTTTTTGCTTATGTGGGCTGAGGAATCGAACCCAGAGCCTCAGGCATGCAAGGCAAGCGCTCTACCACTGAGCCACCTTCCCAGCCCTGAATTTTTTTTTTATTGTGAAAATACTGTACAGAGGGGTTACAATTACATGGGCAAATAATGAGTACATTTCTTATCAAGCATTGTAGCCTCCTCCTTTGTTTCCCCTTCCCATTCTATCTTCCTCCCGCCCCCCCACCCAACTCTCCCCCCTCACCAAAGTTGTAAAGTTCATTTTCGACATAACGACTTGTACATCTCATTGTTGCAATGGGTCCACCTATATCCCTATTTAAAGGATTTGTTTTTTCCCTTCCCCTCCACAAATTATAACAACATCAAATACAGTGAAAACAGGGGTTATACCATGGGGGAGTGACATACAAAGCAACAAAGAAATAATCTTATAAATGTGTTAGAAACAATCACATGAAAGAAAAAAAACATTTGAATACATATCTTAGGGTTCAGTTACCTAACATCAATTTATCTGACCTTTTCTGCTTGACTCAGACATATACTAGTTATTGTAAATAAGGGAAGCCATGGGATCTATGTTTCTTTGGGCCTGGCTTGTGGTAGTGAATTTTTGTTTCATCTTGATAGTTGTTTTAGTTTTGGTTTGGAAATGGTAAGGAAGTAATATTTGCATAAGATATTTTTTGTATTTGTGGTATTTATGATTTCATGTTGTATTCCACTACATAAAAGGATACAATGATTGAAAATAGACTTTGCCAAACAAGCTTTACTGATACCAAACAGTTTTACTAGTTCTTGGTGCAAAAGGTGAGTAGAATGGTTTTGGTAGTATATTACTGTGTCCATGTTTGTTTGTGCATGTATGGTCGGTTGGATCTATCTATCTATCTATCTATCTATCTATCTATCTATCTATCTATCTATCTATCTGATATATAAGTCTAAGTGTTGTCATAAATTGTGTGTAAATATAGATTAAAATGAATGTGGTTTTTCTTTTCCTGATCTTTCATAACTAGATTTTTATGTTATGAGCTTCTTTTTTTTTTTTTTGGTTGGTCATGGGGCTTGAACTCTGGGCTTGGGCACTGTCCCTATGCTCTTCAGCTTAAGGTGAGCACTCTAAGGCTTGAGCCACAGCGACACTTCTGGTTTTCTAGTGGTTTATTGGAGATAAGAGTCTCACGGATGTTCCTGCCTGGGCTGGCTTGAACCTTGATCTTCAGATCTCAGCCTCCTGAGTAGCTAGGATTACAGGTGACCAGCTATGTTATAAGCTTCTGAAAGCACAGATCATGAATGAAGAATGAAAACATTTATTTTAATTACATTGTAAACACTTTTAAATAGTTTTATACCAGATATAGTTTGAATGTGGTTGTAAATATAATCTTGAAATAAATAATTGTAGTCAGTGATGTTTATGAAGTAATTCTTTTTTCCTTTCAGGGATCGCTTACATCTGAGACGAACTACAGAACAGCACGTGCCAGAGGTGGAAGTCCAAGTCAAACGCAGAAGGACAGCCTCACTGAGCAACCAAGAGTGAGTAGAGTGTGGGTTAAGAATCAGTTTAGGTCAAAGTAATGGTTAGGATGAAAAAGTATCATGCAATGAAGACAATAATATTAACTTTTTGTTGTTGTTGGTGGTGGGCCTGAACTCTGGGCTTGGCTGCTGTCCCTCAGCAATTCAGCTCAAGGCTAGTGTTCTACCACTTGAGCCACAGCGCCACTTCTGGCTTTTTCTGCTTATGTGGTGCTGAGGAATGGAACCCAGGACCTCATGCATGCATGGCAAGCACTCTACCACTGAGCCACTTTCCCAGCCCCCTAAAATTAACTTTAATAATACAAAATTTTAATGTTATTTAATTTTGTTACATTTTTTCTTTTTAATTCCTTTATTATCACTGGAAAGCAATCATATTTTTTTAAGTCTCTCTTACAAGAAGACAAAGATAAGGGAAGTGGCCTCTGTGCCCTATCTTATGCTTTTCGGATGATAGACTGAACTAGAGGTGCCATCTGGTGGCTGTTTTCTGATATGAGCACAAAAATTTATTACATTTCAGAAAGATGAGAGAAGCGCAGGGAAGTAGCCTCTGTGCCCTATCCTATACTTTTCTTATGATAGGCTGAACTAGAGGCGCCATCTGGTGGCCGCTTTCTGATATGAGCACAAAAATTTATTACATTTCAGAAAGATAAGAGAAGTGCCAGAAGTGGTCTCCTTGCCCTATCTTATACTTTTCTGATAATAGGCTGAATTAGAGGCGCCATCTGGTGGCCGCTTTCTGGTAGACGCACAAAAATTTAAATGTTAATCTAAAACAAGATCATCTTTATTTGTCATCTCCTAATTCAACTCTGATTTTAATTCACTTTCCTTTCTGCAATTATGTATGGGATTTTATGTTTTTAAAGGTTTTATATTTATCCTTTAGTGTATGGATATTATTTCTGCTTTTCTTTATGTTATTAATGTATGCTTTAAAATTTTTCTGTGCTTGAAACCGGTACATATATGTGTGGGTATATTCTGCCCTTGAAATGTTTATGAAGTATTTATGCTTTTATCTGGTTAAAAATTTAAAATGGAGCGTGGTGCATGGCTTAAATCATAAAGTACTTCTCACATAGCAAGTGCAATGCTGTGGGTTCAATTCTTGGTACTACTAAACGCATTTAAAAACAGTCTTCTAGTATGTACACAGATACACATATGTATTTTATTTTAATATAATGTCTAGTGGGTTCTTAAAATACACATGAGTATTTTAATCCATGTTGAGTATACATTGAACCTTTTTTGTTTGTTTTTTTGGTTTTTTTTTTTGGGTCTGGTCATGGGCCTGAACTCTGGGCCTGGGTGCTGTCCCTCAGCTCTTCAGCTCAAGGCTAGCTCTCTACCACGAGCTACAGTGCCACTTCCGGCTTTTTTCCTTTTTTCTTATGTGGTGCTGAGGAATCAAACCCAGGGCCTCAGGCATGCAAGGCAAGTGCTCTACCACTGAGCCATCTTCCCAGCCTTGAATCTTTGACACTTTGTAATTGAGTCTAAATTTTATGTTTGTAAGCTAACAATCTATTTCTCATATTTATATTTTTCAAATTTGTGATGTTAATACATAAATATATTCCCAAAACTTTAGTCTCACTTGGCACTAGTGGCTTACACCTGTAACCCTAGCTACTGAGGTGGCTGAGATCTGAGGATCATGGTTCAAGCCAGCCTGAGTAGGAAAGTCCGTGTGACTCTTTTCTCCAGGTAACCCACCAGAAAATCAGAAGTGGTGCTGTGGCTCAAGTGGTAGAGTGCTAGCCTTGAGCTGAAGAGCAGGAACAGGGTCCCAGGCCCAGAGTTCAAGCCCCAAGCCCAACAAAAAAAAATAAAGAACACAAAACTTTAGCCTAAACTATAGGACCAGTTTATCTCCATTACCTCTCAAAGATCGTTCTGTGTATCCGTGTGCATGCATTTCTTGCCCATGCATGTGTGTGTGGCAGTCCTGGGCCTTGAACTCATGGCCTGGATCCTGTTCCTGAGCTTTTCAGTTCAAGGCTAGAATACAACCACTTGAGCCACAACTCCATTTTGTCTTTTGGTGGTTAATTGGATTTTCCTGTCCCAGTTGTCTTTGAACCAAGATCTTCAGATCTTAACCTCCTGAGTAGCTAGGATTATAGGTATGAGATGGTGTTCCTGGAATGGGGATTTGTAATCAATATCAGTGAATTTTTTATTTTTCATGTAATGCTGAAGGAAGTATTGAGTAGACTTTTGATAGTGTCTAATTTCCCAGAGTGCCATAATGCTAACACTATTTTTTTCATTTCTCCAGAATAGATAGTACACTTATAAGCTTTTTCTGATGGTGGTAGTTGCTTCTTGGGTGTTTGACCATTGGCAAATTTGAGAGGAATCTCATTGAAAGTGCTATGGTTTAGAGACCTTCTTCTCTGTAACAGTGAGTTGGAGGCTGCACCGGTATTAGAGAGCTGTGGTGGCTACAACAGATGCAGCCACCTCAGATTCATTATTATTGATACAGTTGAACAGGTCAGAGAAGGCCTCAAACACATTTTCTCAAGATGAGTTATCCTTTCATACATACACATCAGTGACTTTCTTTGGATATCAGAGATTAGGATATCTAGAAGGTTTTTGGGGGTTAGGGGGTGGTTTAGGGAAATGTATTCATTTTATAGACAGAATTGATTGAATCATTAACCATCCAACTTTATTCAGTCTACTCTCCAGATCCCATTTTCCTTCTTAAACATCATCAGGCTTCAAACCTCAACCCTTTAATTTCTGTTTCATCTTTGGTGGTTTAGCCATCTGAAGTCACCCCCTTAGCATGAGCTCGTCTCATCCATGCAATTCACCTAAAACAATAAGTATCTTTTGCTGAATTGTAAGAATTTGGAGATGACCTCTCAGGTACCAAGGCCAAAGGGATAGCTGTATTTTTTTTGGGGGGGGGGTCTGGTCCTGGGGCCTGAACTCTGGGCCTGGGCGCTGTCCCTCAGCTCTTCAGTTCAAGGCTAGCGCTCTACCACTTGAGCCACAGCGCAACTTCCGGCTTTTTTCTTTTTGCTTATGTGGTGCTGAGGAATCGAACCCAGGGCCTCATGCATGCAAGGCAAGTGCTCTACCACTGAGCCACCTTCCCAGCCCCGACAACTGTATTTTTAAGTATAAAATTACATGTTCAAAACTACAGAAAACATAGAAAATTGAGCACAGTATCAGCATGAAATGACTGGTGTTTAGTTTTTCCTTCTATCAGGTCAGATCACATCAGGTCTTTTATACTGTTTGAACAATACATCCAGGCTAGCTTTTGTGCTGATTATTTTGGAGATGGTGACTCAGGTGTTTTCTGTCTTGTCTGGCTTTGAAATCCTATTATTTAGATCTCAGCCTTTTAACATTAGCCATTAGTACCCCGCCCAGGCCTTTTTGTTCCTATATTTCCTCTCATTGTAGTCACAGATAGTTTACTGATCTATTAGGTGATGCTTGACGACTTTTCCAAATAATGGTCTTGCTACTAATAAGCTACTATTACATAGTTTAGGAGCTCTCAATCATACTAGACTTGAAACTGTTTCAGGTAGTGACTTAGGGGGATCAGTATGGATAGGCAAATAATATCTCACTGAAAATCTCAGCAGAACTCTTACCTTATGGTTGAGAGACTGGAATGCAGTGTAATTATAGAGTTACATTAATGACTATGGTGCTACAAGTTCTAGAAGTATTCATGCTTAAGTTTTTAGTTTTAGGTTTTTTTGTATATCCAAAGTGGGTAAGTATTCACTGGATTCTTTCCCATTCTTATGTGTATACAGACTCCTTTTTTTACAGCTAATTCATAATGTAATGGTGTGCTCTGACCCCACAGAAAGACAAAATATAACATTCTCTATGTTTTATATGGTTTTATCCAAAGGTGTTTCCTATCATTTATACGTATTGTCTTCTTGTCATAGGTGTCACTTGTATGCCAGGCGTTCTCAGCAGCATCAAATTCCTGTGGTGGATTTCCAGGCAGAACTAAGACAGGCATTCTTGGCTGAGACACCAAGAGGTGGTTAAAGTATCGGAACATCAAAAATAGCTGATTTCAAGAAAAAACAGGTTAGAGGCAATACTGAAATGATCAGAAATAATAAATGGAGGTTTAATTGATTGATATCATTGAAATAAAATTTTGTTAAATGCTGTATGCTTATTCAGTACCACAAGAGAAAAATAAATGCATTGAATAAAATTGAAAGTGGAAGTATGTCCTTAATATCTGCATGACACTTGTCATGTTTCTGAATTCTAATATTCAGAATTCAGAGAGACTTCACTTTTAAGAAATTTTATTCTTAAAAAAATTTTATTCTTATCAATGATTTTTCAACTTGACATGGAAAATATTTCATTATAAATGACTTGAATATTTGGGAAAATCTTTTATAATTTGCTTTTGTGGGAAACTTCATTTTTTTGTTTGTAGTTTTTGAAGTGTTTTTAGTTGTCATAACCATAAAAAATCATGTGCTAGTTACCTTTTAATTTCAGTATCATTTAAATTTTAATTCAGTGTCCATAAATTATGCTGCAAATACATATCATTCATTAGCTTTGAGTGTTAGGGAATGTTAAATAATTTTCCATGGTAATTTACTAATTTTTTTCATTTTTTTGTCTTTTTCTCACTTTTCTGTTTTCATCAATGTGTGTCTTTTTTGTCAGCAAACAATGTAATAAAGTTCTTATCCATAAATTTTCAGTGTGATGTATATTTATTTCTTTTGTCTTTATGTTGATGATTTACATTTTTCAGAAAAAAATAGTTGAGAACTTCATTTACTATATTATTATTTTGAAAATTTCTAAGATTAGAATTGGTATCTATTTGGTAGTTTAGTATGGATTTTAGAAAATAAGAGAGAAGTGAAGTTTATTGATTCTTGTCTAGAGAATTTCATTTCAATTCTTTATCTTCAGTAACTTAGTTTAGTTGATTCTCTAAATCACATCATGTCCAGATGCTCCCCAGAATAAAGACATTTTTTCAATGACTTGGTGTACACATTTTTAAAATTATTTTTGAGAAATGATGTGCTTATATATCTTGTTTTGGACTGGATTTGAAATCTTGTCTCAACCTCTATAGATTCCTGGGATTATAGGCATGTACTACCACACCAGTTTACAATTTTTTTTGCCAATACTGGGGATTGAACTGAGGGACTGAAACACGCTACAACTTAAACTCTACACCTTAAACACTCTACAACTTAAACGCTGCAACTTAAACTCCCTTCCCCCCTGGCTTCTAGCTTTAATTTATTTTTCATTTTTTTTTGTCCTGGATTGGTTTGAGACTGTGATCTCATCTCAGCCTATAATTGATGATTTTCCCCAAGAATTTTTTTTTTTGGGTCCGGTTGTGGGGCCTGAACTCAGGGCCTGGGTACTGTCCCTCAGCTCTTCAGTTCAAGGCTAGTGCTTTACCACTTGAGCCACAGCACCACTTCCAGATTTTTTCTTTTTGCTTATGTGGTGCTGAGGAATAGAACCCAGGGCCTCAGGCATGCAAGGCAAGCGCTCTACCACTGAGCCACCTTCCCAGCCCATTCCCCAAGAATTTTATTTACTATTAATATTACATTTTGCTAATACTGAGGCTTGAGTTTGGGGCCTTGTGAGTTTTTTAGCTCAAGGCTAATGTTATATCCAGGTGAGCTATAGCTCTACTTTTTGATACTTTGCAGTATCAAAGACAGGCTGTCTTTGAACTGTATTTGTCAGATCTTAGTCTCCTGAGTAGCTAGGATTACAGGAATAAGTCACTGGGGCCTTGTCAAATTCTTGTACATTTTTAAGTATAATATTTAATATATTTAGATCTATAAGTGGTACCATCTATTTCCTTGCTTTGTTTATTCTATTGTAAGTTGCTAGTTCTAATTATATATATTTGAAAATCAAACGTATTAGAATATATCCATGTTCATTTATATTTTATTTTTTTTAATTTTGTCATTTGTGCAGCCTGAACTCTGAGCTTGGGTGCTGTCCCTCAGCTCTTCAGCTCAAGGCTAGTCCTCTACCACTTGAGCCACAGTGCCACTTCCAGCTTTTTCTGCTTATGTGGTACTGAGGAATTGAACCCAGGGCCTCATACAAGTAAGGCAAGCACTCTACCACTGAGCCACCTTCCCAGCCCCCTCATTTGTATTTTAAATGCATTGAGACTAGAGTGGATGACAAATGGAATGACAGACATGTTCTAAAATTTTAATATCTTGATCACTCTAAAGGAGAATTTGCTGATCTTTTACTGAGTCAGATGCGAAACAAGACAACAACAAAGTCAGGTTCAAGTGGCTCATATCTAAAATCCTAGCTTCTCGAGATTGAGATCTGAGGATTGAGGTTCAAATCAAGCCCAGGCATGAACATTTGTGACATTCTTATCTCCAGTTAATCACTGCAGAGCTAGAAATTGTGTTGTGGTTCAAGTGGTAGAGACAAAAATCTCAAGGATAGCACCTCAGCCATGAGTTCAAGCCCAGGACCAGCATAAAAATTACTAAAAACCCAAAACAAGAAAAGTATAAATAAAGTTAGGGGAAGAGTTCTGATTTCTAGTGATGATGGTGACACTTAGGAGGCTGAGGCAGTAGGATCCTGAATTTCACACCAGCCTAGGATTTACAGTGAGACCATCTACAAACAGTAGAAACAATACATCCACATGCACACATGTGTACTCACATATACACATGTATTCACATATACATGTAAAATTTGTGATATGTTTTGCAGGTAGTATCAACAGTTTGAAACCTTGTACAACAGTGCTCTGATTTGACTCCATACTCAGTTTATTCAAATTCTAAGCCTATTTGGTACTTGGTGAAGAAAGATTATTTAACATTTATAAAGGCATTTAGGGAAAATCAGGAACATACAGTTGAAAATTATTGAGAGTTGAGCCAAAAATAAAAGATGTTAGCTTGTAAGTAATTGAGACATTGATATAAATTTCAGGAAGGAAAATTAAACTTACTTGGATCTATTTAATATTTACTAGGGCCAGGCACTAGTGGATCACACCTGTAAATCTAGCTACCCAGGACTTTATTAGGCAAGAAAGTCCTTGACACCCTTATCTCTGATAAACTGCCCAGTAAAATCTGGAAGTGGAGCTGTGGTTCAGTGATAGAGCACTAGCCTTGTGCAGAAAGAAGCTCACGGATAGCACCTACGCCCTGAGTTCAAGCCTCAGGACTGGCACGCGCGCGCACGCACACACACACACACACACACACACACGATCTACTAGAGACTTACTATTCAGTGAATTTTTATCAATTTAGGTATCTCAAATAGAAGTTGAAAATGTAGGAATAGTGATATATATTAGTTCATGAGTGTAAGAGGATGAATATTTTTAAATACGTGTTCTGTAATGATTGGGGGAGGGCATGAATTGTCTTTATAAAAACAGTGTAAGTTGCAGTGCAGCTACATCATGCTTTCCTCTGCAGGATCCATCCACTGTTTGTGAAGCTTCTGCCCAGCTTGCATTGTTTCTAGGAGAACCTGCATCATACCTTTATTTATAGCTTTCCCCTAGGTTTAAAGGTCCTGAAATTTTACTGCTGACACCGGATTTTGTGGAACAGCAATCATGGTAAGATACACATTATGGCAGAGGGGTGGTAAGCTGAGATATGGGACCCAAATATTAGTTTCCAATTGTGTCATTCTTTGTGTTCTGAAAGTTAGAAGGTACAGAGGAAGATACTCATTCCATTGACTAACACCTAGAGATTGGTAGTGTCTAGTGTCCTGTCAATGGTCAGTAGGAAATGAAATTGATAACTATAGGGTAGGGATGGGGGAAAAGGGATAATGATGGAAGGGGTAAAAGTAACCAAGAAGCATTGTACTTGCAATCTGACTTACAGAATTGTAATCCCTTTGTACAAGTACTTGATGCTAAATGATGAAGATGTTTCCAAATATTACTGGAATGTCTCTGGGTATGATACTGTAATTTTTGGTCATGATTATAATATTAAAGGATCATCTTGAAGACAGGTGATTTTAAGTTAGATTTCAATAGATCCAGACTTTGAGAATAAGTTTTTGAGTTAATCATTATTTAGAAATTTAGTTTGGATGGAGAGAATGCATTCTAAACAAAGTTCTATGATCCTGACAGTATGCAACATGCATTCTCAGAAATAGTACACTCGCAAAATCAGTTATTGACATATGAAAATCCTTTCATTTATAAATTCTCTAGATTACATTATCTTGCTGAGATATGGCATCAGATTAAAATGTCAGAAAGACTAATGAATAATAATTATTAAAGGTACCATAAAAGGAAGAAAGCGAAAGAAATTTGGTTTCTTTGGTCGGTCATAGGACTTGAACTTAGGGCCTGGGCACTGTCTCTAAGCTTTTTCACTCAAGGCTAGTGCTCTACCATTTTACACCACAGTGCCACCTTTGGTTTTCTGGGGGTTAATTGGAGATGAGCCTCATAGACTTTCCTGCCCAGGCTGGATTTGAACTGCAGTCCTCAGATCTCAGTGTCCTGAGTGGCTGAAATTACAGGCATGAGCCACCAGTACCTGGCTCTTTTTAAAGATTTTTTTAAAAAACTTTTTTTGGGGGGGTCCTTTTGGTGCTGGGGATTGAACCCAGGATGTTGCACTTGGTAGGCAAGCACTTTGCTACTGAGCTATATCCTAGCCCATTTTTTTTACAATAATAAAAATGTTCTAAATAAGCTTGTATTGGCTTGATGAGATTTGCAATTTTAGCTATGAATTTGTGTAAGAGAAACAGTTCACAGGGTTAGGCATCTTATAGGAAGAATGTTATATAGGAAAGGAGAGATGAAATCTCAAAAAGTGGGGGACTGGGATGAGGAATCTCAATCTTGGAAAATAGCTCTAATGACAGTAAAGTTGCCTAGCATTCTGGGAAGAGGATCTTTATTTAAAGGACCATAATGATTCCGGATCAAAATTTGGTCTTGTATATTTAGGAAATGTGGACAAATGTTGGAGAAAGTTGTAAAGGAAGATGTGTTTAGTTCTGAAAACCAGATATTTATAAGGAGTGAGAAAGAAAATAAGGAAAGGTTGGAAAACTAGCCTACAGATGGGCTGTTCATGATATTCCTGTACTGCTTGCAGACTGTGGGCAAGAGTAGCAAGATGCTGCAGCACATTGACTACAGAATGAGATGTATCCTGCAAGATGGCCGAATCTTCATTGGCACCTTCAAGGCTTTTGACAAGCATATGAATTTGATCCTCTGTGATTGTGATGAGTTCAGGAAGATCAAGTAAGGCAGATTTGGATAAAATGTGGGAGGCAGGGGCTGTGGAAAGACAAGGCCCAAATTTAAGTAGTTTGTAAAGGGTAACAAGTACTTAGGGAACTGCAGCATTGTTTGTTATTGTCTCACATCTTGGCCTCATCTCCAAGTTGTGTCAGAGCCTCAGAACCTTAGAGTCATTATATTCTAATGAGAATAATATATACAATGGGACCAACGCTGTATAGCATATGTAACATTTCCAGAATTGAGAAATTATTGTTGATTGCCATCTATGACAGTCTTTCAGAAAGAAAGAATTTTTTTTTGTTGTTGGGCATGGGGCCTGAACTCTGGGCCTGGGTGCTGCCCCTCAGCTCTTCAGCTCAAGGCAAGCGCTCTATCACTTGAGCCATAGCACTTCTGGCTTTTTTCCCCTGTTAATGTGGTGCTGAGAAATAGAGCCCTCATGCATGCAAGGCAAGCATTCTACCACTGAGCCATCTTCCCATCCCCAAAGAAGGAATTTTGACATAGTGAAAGAATACTGTCCCTCCTAGATGAGGTGTTGGAGAGTGGTATATTTAATATCTTGGCTGCCTATTGCTGTTTCAAATTCCTTAGTTTTGTCAATACTTAATTAATTAAAATGATTTTAACAGATCTGCTTGCCATTTTTACATGGAACCTTAGATTTTATTTTACCTGTCTTAACACACCTGTATTTTACAAAAGAAATTCCTTTGGATTAGTAGCCTGTTTTTGGAATTCTGGACATCAATTCCCACAAATGAGGATATGAAGGAAAGCATTTTAAGTTAATTGGAAAATTGACTAGAGCCTGCAACTGAGGAAATTTTAAAATAGCAAGAGAATATCCTGCAAAAGCCTGAAGTAACATAGAAGAGCTTTATATTTTACACATGTTAAAAATGTAAGGGACTGTACAGATTAGTCACAGTTATACCTAAAAATCTTGGCATTCGTTTTTGTCTTAATTGGAACTTTATGGAACGAGTAACTCGGATTCACTAAAGATTGTTTTACTAACATTGTGGTTTATAGGCCAAAGAATGCAAAACAGCCAGAGCGTGAAGAAAAGCGGGTTTTGGGTCTGGTGTTGCTCCGTGGAGAAAACTTGGTTTCCATGACTGTGGAGGGGCCACCACCTAAAGATGTAAGGAATATTTTTTATTATTTGTAAGTTTGTTGTTAATTGACATATGGACCAGAAGTTTACTGGATTAGAAATTTGGCAGAGAGCTCCATGGTACATTTGATCACTTAGTCACTTGAGTATAGCACTCATGTGAGAGTGGTGGTATGGGAAAACAGTAATTTTGAAGAAAGCTGCTGAAAATATGAAGTAAACCCTGTGTTTTTCAAATTCTTCCTGTTTTGTTTCAGACTGGCATAGCTCGAGTACCACTTGCTGGAGCTGCAGGAGGTCCTGGGGTCGGGAGGGCTGCTGGCAGAGGAGTGCCAGCTGGTGTGCCAATTCCCCAGGCTCCTGCTGGATTAGCCGGTCCTGTCCGAGGTGTTGGAGGTCCATCCCAGCAGGTAAGGGGATGAAAGAGATTTGGATTAATAGAAAAATGTGACTAGAATCTGGGCAGAGTATACATCCCATATTATTTAAGCCACATATGTTCTAGGAAGAACTTGTGGAAAAATATAACTATCTTAAAGTGTTAAAGGAAAAGGAGAGAAATAAAGCTGGTTATTTACCTACTTGACAAGTAAAGAAAATATGGATGACATTACTAGAAAAGAAAAAAAGGCAGAAGAGTTTATTAGAGTAAATATGCAAGAGGAAAAATTATTTCATTGTTATTTTCAATGTAATATACAAAGGGATTTCAGTTATATAGGTCAGGTACTGAGTACATTTCTTTTGGGCTAGTGTCACCCCTTTGCTTACTCTCTCCTAGTTTTTCCTACATCTCTATCCACAAGTGGTATAGTTCATTTACAACATAGTATCTAATGAGTACCACTGCTGTATTTGTTACTCTTTGTCCCTCCATTTCTGTGCTCCCCTTTACCCTCCCAAGAACAGATAAATGAACAAACAAGACAAATGTATGGGACTGAGTGGCTGGTGTAGCACAATGGTAGAGTGCAATTACCATTCTCATTTCTCTGCATTTGATCCCCAGCAGCACAAAAACAAGAATGAAATGACAGATTACAAGAGAGTGATAACTGAACAACTATTTAGCTTCCAATAAGACATATCCATTGTTTCTTTTATGTGTTTGTAAATGTAAAGGTGTACCTCACTGTTCATTGTCTTCCTGGCTGTGCTTTCTCAGGTAATGACTCCGCAGGGAAGAGGCACTGTAGCAGCAGCCGCTGTTGCTGCTACTGCCAGCATTGCTGGAGCCCCAACCCAGTACCCACCAGGACGGGGGACTCCACCCCCACCTGTTGGCAGAGCAACCCCACCTCCAGGTAAGAGATTTATTCACAATAATTTGGGTCTCTAAAAGATTAAATGTTATACTTAGGAAGTGTTGTTGTAATGTGCTAACATTAAGAATCATGAATTAAGGCCTAGTTTAAGTAAGAATTTAGGGATTTTCCTATAATTTCAAATGAGTGGCTATGGACTTTTGAATTGAAAATGGCATTGGGAAGGATAATACTTGAAGAAATGCTTCATACTCTTAATTTGGTGTTGGTCCCGAGCTTACTCATGAGGCCTTTATTTTATTTTATTTTTATTTAGTTTTTATTTTTGTTTTTCGTGGGGCTTGAACTCTGGGCCTGGGCGCTGTCCCTCAGCTCTACCACTTGAGCCACAGTGCCACTTCTGGTTGGAGATAAGAGTCTCACAGACTTTCCTGCCCAGGTTGGCTTTGAACCTTGATTCTCAGATCTCAGCCTCCTGAGTAGCTAGAATTATAGGCGTGAGCCACCGGCACCCAGATGAGGCCTTTATTTTTGTCATATTCTTCTTTGTAGGTATTATGGCTCCTCCACCTGGTATGAGACCACCCATGGGCCCACCGATTGGGCTTCCCCCTACTCGAGGGACACCAATAGGTATGCCCCCTCCCGGAATGAGACCCCCTCCACCAGGAATTAGAGGTGAGTAGAGACTAGGAACTCTTAAGATGACAGACAAATCCTTGAATTTTTATATGCCCCTTTACTAACTCATACAGAATAATATTATGTTTCCTTTCTAGGTCCACCTCCCCCCGGCATGCGCCCACCAAGACCCTAGGATGTTGTTGATCCATACAAGTCCCATTTTTGCCCTGCAGTACATCTTGTGAAATTGTGTAGACTGTTTGTGAGCTTTCTGTCCCCCTTTCTGCATTAATAGTAGCTAATAATAAATACATAGAGCAATTAAATTATGAGGTACTGTTGTATATTTTTTCTGTTTCTGTTGGTTTAATTGAGGTCAAAGGTGTAATCAGTCATTACTGGTCTTGAAAATACTGTCTGTGTTGTGAGTCATGGTAAACTATGTATTCAAGTTGATTTCTCTTTGGGGGATTAGAATTGAGGTGATTTCTTGTTTCCACCTTTTAACTTTCACTTTGTTTATTGACTGATATGTTCACTGATTGGTATTGGGTAATGTACAGGTAAGATGTCTCATAGTCTTGGGTATAAGTGGCATTGCTATAAAATTCACACGTGGTATGTCACACTACCTGAAGCAATGTAATGATGGATAAAGGATCCTTTAAGGCCACTTGTTTACTGAAGGAAACTTTGAACTCTTTTTCATTAAGATATTTGAAATAGGATTTACTCTTTGGGAGAAGACCTTGGTCAGTTTCTGCAGTGCTCTGATCTGAAAGACTTCATTCTGGAATGTATATGCCGTATGAGTAAGTATTCATTTATTAAATGCTAAAACAGTTGTCATTCCTGGGTACTTAGAAGCAGTGGCTTGCATATTTGAGATGAATAAGTTGTGTGGTTTGCAGATAATTTATATAATATAATTGACAAAGTAAAGTTTATGCTAAGAATATATCCAACCACAATACTATAGTACTACAAATGTTGAGAAATGGATGATGTCTTTTATTTTATACATGTATTTATTGTCGGATATGGGGTTTGAACTGAGGCACAGTCTCTGAGCCTCTTTGTGCTCAAGGCTAGCACTCTACCCTTGAGCCACAGTGCCACTTCCAGTTTTTTGAGTGATCAATTGGTGACAGTCTCAGGGGGACTTTTCTGCCCTGGCTGGCTTCACATTGTGATCCTCAGGTCTTAGCCTCCTGAGTAGGTAGTATTGTAGGCATGAGCCACCAGAGCTTGGCTGGATGATGCCTTTTAAACAGTTAGGGATTGTCCTTATATCTAATTTTTGTTTGAGATGGTTATGGATGGACTAAAGGTAGCTATCTTTCTATTGCTGAGAATTAAATGCTGTCTTGGTAGGCAAGTGCTCTACCGTTAGAATCATATCTCCTGTCCTTTGCTTTTTTTATAGTTTGTCATCTCGCTAAACATTTTCTAGGCTGCCCTTGAACCTTTGTGATAGCTAGGATCTCAGATACATGCCACAATGCTCGCTCAAAACTTTTTAGAAGGGTAGAAGGATAGAGAGAATAAGTTCTTAGTTGTTGGAGCTTTTGTTGTTGGTGTGGGGCTTGAACTCAGGGCCTGGGTGTCCTTGAGCTTTTCTGCTCAAGGCTAGCACTCTACTACTTTGAACTAAACCTCCACTTGCAAAGTTCATAGTTTTTAATGCTGAGGTCTCAACTAAGTAGTGAGTAAATTGCTATAGTAAGTTTTCTAACAGATTGTAAATCTATTTTGCTTTCAGTGTCTGTTAGGAACATATCAATATACCATTCTTAAAACAATCTGTGCTTCTAAATACTTAGAAATCATCATGCACTCCTAAATTTACATCAGAGCATACCTTGCCTAAAACAGGCTTTGGCAACAACTTTCTGATTTCTTCATATGCTTTTTTTATTGTCTGACTCCGTAAGTATATTTAGGTTGCACATCATATTTGACACAATGTTTTCATTGTGACTTGGAGCACAGCTTCAAGTGGAAATCTGGAGTTTACTAATGCTAGCATAAAATAGTTGATACAATATTTGTGATAGTATTCCTCATTGATATGTTATGAGAACTTGGTATTAGAAGAATTTTGAGGGCCTGGGAAGGTGGCTTAGTGGTTCTTGCCTTGCATGTATGAGGTCCTGGGTTCAACTCTTCAGCACCAGATAATTCTTCAGCCGGAAGTGGCGCTGTGTATCAAGTGATAGAGTACTAGCCTTGAGTGAAGAGCTGTGGGACAATGCCCAAGCCCAGAGTTCAGGTCCCAGGACTGACAAAAAAAAGAATTTTGAAAGTCAAATTTTGCAATTTCCTATATTTTGAAGTCATTAGGCTTATTAATTATCCCATGTCAAATTATAGATTCCTGAAAACTAATGAATTGGGCATTGGTTTCTTTGAAGATCTTTTTTTTTGGGGGGGGTCCAGTCGCGGGGCCTGAACTCTGGGCCTGGGTGCTGTCCCTCAGCTCTTCAGCTCAAGGCTAGCGCTCTACCACTTGAGCCACAGCGCCACTTCTGGCTTTTTTCTTTTTGCTTATGTGGTGCTGAGGAATCGAACCCAGGGCCTCAGGATTGCAAAGCAAGCGCTCTACCACTGAGCCACCTTCCCAGCCCCTCTTTGAAGATCTTAATTGTAATAAAATAATACAAGTAGGACTTTGTTTATATAAATTATAGGATAATAGTTCAGAACTTTTATATTCTTAATTCCCAGATTAGGAAAAATATGCACATTATATGTTCTCACATAGCACCTTTAAAGATGTCAACAGGTAGCACCTGTTCATATAGTCTCAGTATATGAATCTCAGCACACATTATGTTTTGTTTCTATAGTAGAATCATATCTGAACCTGAAGCGGGATATTTGTGTGTTCATACTTTTCCAGTTTCATGTGATGCTCTCTTGACAACTTAGTTGAGACTGAAGGAGAGAGAAATTGTTCAATGAATTTTATGAAGTTCCTACCCAGTAGTGTCAGAAGAAAATTGTATTAGCTGCCTTTAGGAGAGAAACATAACAACATTCCAGGTAACGTAATCTTCTAAGAAAACTGAGAATATTCCAGAGGCCATGGCTAGGTTCATGATGACACTGGACCTTGTCTGACTACAAAATGATTTCAAATTTGAGCTTAAAGGGATATTCTGAAAACCAGTCAGTGTGCCTCAATAAACACAATAGAGCACTTTAATCTTATAAAATCCATAATGTGAAAACTTTGAGTATTTAAAACTGGCATTTGTATCAAGGCACTTTGCCAAATCCTCTCCTATCTTATTTTCCCAAGTATGCTGAGGTTTTTTTTCATATTTTGCACTTTGTATTTTTTGAAAGATTAACGGAAACATACTTGCATGAGAAAAGGCATAGGCATCTGGTGAGATGGAAATGGAAGAGTAACAATGAAACTGGCAACTCTTGAAAAAAGCAAAGATCATACTCATGTCCGGGAGTGGGATCAAAAGAAAATAAGTATCAAATGTGCATTATGGAACACAGTGAGTATGTCAAAATGATGTTGGTGTGTTAGAGTAATTGAACTGTATTTTTATTACTTGGTTGTCTTCCTATAGTAGATGATAGTAAAGAAGTACTTAGTGAATGAAGTACTTATTTTTTGATGTTATAAAAAAACTTTTAGGTATTTCATATTTCTGTCTTTGTGTGTATGATATAAACAATGTCTACATGAGTAATGCTGATACTGTAAAGTAGTCAGCCATTTCTACAATAGAACTTACTTGGATTTTTCATGTATATCAGCTCCTATTTGTGTATAAGCATATCATTATATTTACAATGCATTTTCAAGGATACTTTTGTGCCAATCGTGAGGCTTGAACTCAGGGCTTGGGCACAGTCTCTCAGCTTTTGTGCTCAAGCCTAGTGCTTTACTGCTTGTGCCACAGCTCCACTTATAGCTTAGTTGGAAATTAAGATTGGTTAATTGGAGATGAGTCATATGGTTCTTCCTGCCCAAACTGGCTTTGAAACACTCAGATCTTAGTTCCTCAGATCTGAGACTCCTGAGCAGCTAAGATTAAGGTGCAAGCCATTGTTGCCCAGATTTTTCTTTTGTTAGTTGTGGGGTTTGAACTCAGGGCCTGGGTGCTGTCCCTGAGGTCTTTTGCTCACAGTTAGCACTCTACCACTGAACCACAGCTCCACTTCTAGTTTTCTGATGACTAATTGGAGATAAGAGTCTCAATGGACTTTTCTGCCCAGGCAGGCTTTGAACCTTGATCCTCAGATCTCAGCCTCCTGAGCAGCTAGCTAGGATTACAGGTATGAGCCACCAGCACTTTTTACATCATCTTATTTTCATCACAGCCAACTTAATTACATACCAATTTTACTTACAAGTTTCATCTTTTAAGACATACCCATATCATCTGCTAAATACTCAAACCTTCTGTGGCTTACTTGAACATTTCATGGTTTGTCTTGATTCTCCCTTTTGAGCAAACATTTAAGACAATTTTTACTTTCAAAATCCTTTTTAATCAAAAGGAACCCATTTTTCTGTTTTCTCAATTCTCTTTCGCAAGGCTTTCTTTACTCTCTCTCTCTTTTACATTTTCTTACTTTTTTTAAATTCGTGTTTTGGATTAAATTTTAGACCTATTTGTTTGCCCCCGGATCTGATGAAGATTTTTTTTTGTGGTTTGAGTTTAAAATTGCCCTTCTTTTTGGTCCTTTGGCTTGTGGAATCAGGTGATCTTAGACTGTATTTCTACCCACAGGCTGCTGGGGCAGAGAAGCTTGCTAGATTAGACTCACATAAAAAGCAGTATGCTTGATAGTTAACTCCTTTAGCACAAGATTTACCACTGCAGTCAGGAATTAAATAATTTCAGGAAATATCAGTACCAAACATAGAAAAAAATACTTTTTACCCCATGATGACAGTTTTTATGTATTACAATGAGATTACTTTGAACATGTAACATACACATCTACACTTGTGTACAAAGTTTTAAGGCACACTTAGGTTTTCTTTTTTCTTTTTTTTTTAAGAACAATTGGCTGTAATTTTTTTAGGAATTCCAGTGGGAAAATGACATTGTTTTGCCCAATATGATAGAACTACATGGCACTTTTGTCAACAACATCTTTCTTACAGATTACCGAGACCTCCATAGTCAAAAGCAGAATATGTTTAAATATTTTTGTTAGCAAGACATATTGACCTTTGAGTAATTGACTTGAATATCCTTTTAAATATCAACAAATCAGATTAATGGAAAGCTGAAGAGGGATATCAAGGTGACCCCACAAGCAGAATTTAACTGAATCCCCATGTCTAAATAAACATTGATAACAAGAACAGAAAGCCTCTAAAACAATTTTGATAATGAGATGTATTAGTATATGAATTGACTATCTGGAGAAACAGTAGTAAGTGGAGTTGCAGAAAAAAAATCACCATGTGGCCTTTGTCTCTTGCTAAGGGGATCTGCAGAGAGAACTGGTAGAAGGAATTTTTCCAGGGGCCTTTACAGATAAAGAAAATTGATTTATCTTTGGAAGCTTGTATACCCCCCCCCCCCATCAGTCAGTCACACAAGGAGGCCGGCGGGGGTGGGGAGGTGGCAGCATTGTTTAGAGGACAGTTTCCCCACTGCGGAGTGAAAGAATGTAGTACTGGAAAAGGGCTTAGAAAAAGAGGAGAAAAGAGAGAGTGACAGATGAAGCTGCTACCTGACAAGAAAAGAGAGGAGATGAGTGGGAGACTTACAGCAGAGAAGGAATTAGTGGGCAGAGCAGAGTGGGGAGGGGGCCTGTCACGGACAATGGAGGGGGCTTGAGTGTAGGGGACAGAAGAGAGGGAATAAGGGGCTGGGAAGGTGGCTCAGTGGTAGAGCGCTTGTTTTGCATGCCTGAGGCCCTGGGTTCGATTCCTCAGCACCACATCAGCAAAAAGAAAAAAGCCGGAAGTGGTGCTGAGGCTCAAGTGGAAGAGCGCTAGCCTTGAGCTGAAAAGCTGAGGGACAGCGCCCAGGCCCAGAGTTCAGGCCCCACGACCGGACCAAAAAAAAAAAAAAAAGAGAGGGAATAAGAGAAAGATGGAGGAGGAAGAGGCACAGGGGGCTTTGTGATACCTACCTGTGGGGAGGGGCCTCAGAAAGAGAGTGAAGACACCATAAAAGGTTCAGTGAGAGGCGGCCAAAGGGCAGGTGGAGGGGAACCAGAGTAAAGCAGGGCTGTCAGCTTGTTATGGCAAAGAAAGTAGTTGTCGTTAATTTTATCTAAGAAAGTTTTAAGTGCAACTTTTTAAGGGTATGGGGGGGGAGTAGGAAGGGGGAGAGGGCGAAGAGAGGGGCTGTACTAGAGAATGGAGGCAATTTAATGGAGGTCAGCCTGGGGAAGAGAGGGGGTAGATGGCCCATTACCCTGTGAGGTGGTGGGAGAGTCAATCCGTGCCCCTTTTGCCCATATTTAGTGCATGGTCCTAGTGGTGGTCAAAGGTTGGGGCATGGGTGTGCCCAGTGGCCAGTCTGCCTACATCTGAAGCAGGGTCTGGAGGCTCCTTGAGGGAGGTGCCCTTACTGGATGGGGCAGGTTGGTAGAGGGCTTGCTTGGCTACTATCTAGCATTTAACCTTTTTGGGCCTTTTTATATCTCCGGTTGTATACCTTGAATGCTGCCTCTAGAACCTCCACTTGGAGGATAAGTGGTAGCCCTTTTCTAGCTTTTTATATTTGGCCCTAATGTCTGAGTCACACTGGGAGAAAAATAAGTCATTAGCAACAGTTGGCCTTCTTCAGTCTCTGGGTCCAGGCCAGTGCACTCACGCCTGGGTGAAGATTTTCATTTTTACCCTGAAAGATTTGAGTTAATTTGTGGTAATTATCTACTCTGAGTAAGAGCCTGAGCAGGCTCTCTGGACCAAACCTATGTAAGGGCGACACCTAGTGTTTTTGTAAGGTGCTACATGATGGTCTCCAGAGCTCCAATGGTTGGTGGGGGAGGCGGCAGGGACGGTGGGGGGGGGGGTCCCGCAGGATCAAATGAAAGGAGTATAGGGTTTTAGCAGCTAGTAAGAGGTGTGCAGAGATCAGGAAAAGTGTTACTGTCAGGTGAGCGTGAAGAAGGGAGAAGGCCTGGGTGTTCTTTATTTTGCTCCATTTTTCTGAGCACTCACAATTAAATAAATCCCAAATACTCCTGGGGTCAAAGGTGCCGTTAATTGGCCATTTAGATTGGCTGTAGTGGCCATGCCGGATTGCAGAGGTAAATAGGTCTTGGTGTTTAAACTTAGGAGCCAGGTGGAACTAGAATAGATGGGCAGGCATGTACCCGAGGGACAAGTCTGCCGGCATCATAGACTGGGAGTTTCCTATGGTGACCACAATGCTAGGATCAACTAGAATAGCATCCTCAGTCTAGATCAGTCTAGAGAGGGGGGAGGAGAGAAAGAGAGAGAGAGAGAGAGGGACAGACAGACAGAGGAGAACAATGGTTGACAGGGGATAGGGTTGTCACCCAGACTCCCTGTGTCCTCAGCCTTAGGCCCGACCATAGACTCGCAGAGCTCAGTACTGGGTCTTTCAGCTGTGGGAAAACTGTGAGCAGGTCAAGAGAAAGAAAAGGAGCCCAAGTCCATTTACCCCATGCATATGAATGAAGGCTGGTAAACTGGTTGTGAAAGAGTGCTTGGGGTCAGGAGGAAGCCTCATAGTGGCTGTGTTGATGTAGCACAAGTCTGGGCCCCTGTGATTGACTCTCCAGGGGAGAGGGTGACTAGCACAGGGGAACTGGGAACCAGGTTCATAGAACAAAGAAAGGTTTATTGCCAGCAAAGGAACCAACAAGACTACTTCTCACAGGGAGAAGAACCTCAGATCTCTCCTGAGGTAACCTATATAATTTAAGGGGCTAGTAGGTGGGGACTTTAGTGTGGACGTGTGGTCCAGGGAATTCACCAGGGTGGGCTAGGTTTTATGGCAGCTGCCCAAGTAGTAGATAAGGGTCCTGTAGATGGCCCCTTTAACGGGCCTTGATACCTTATATGGTTGTAAGGGCCCCAATGGCAGTCCTCTCAAGGTAAGAGGGAAGGAGGCCAGTTACTTACTACCTATATGAATTGGGCTTAGTACTCTATTTTAAGCACCAAATGTGTCTAGTGATGAACTCTGAAAGATGCCTGCCAGATCCTGGGAAAGGAGCATGCCAAGCTATGGGCAAGGAGCCTATTGGACTAAACAGTAGTGGTTGTTGGAATCAACATCTTCCAAAATGGTATGATTTCTTCTTGAGTTCAGTTATTTTTGGATTTGAACTCAGGGCCACATGCTGGCCATACAGCTGCTGGTCACTACTTTTGCCATGCCTTCAGGCCTTTTTTGGGTGGGGGGTTAGTGTTTTGAATAGAGTTTTGTATCCCTTTTAACATCTGCCAGCCTTGACCTTGACCAGGCAGGATGACATACTTGTAGTAATGTCTTATTGACTGGGCTAGAGTCTGTCAAAGTTCTTAGGCTATCCTGCTATCCTA